ATTACGAAATAGGGTGAATACATCTCATGTCTCATTAAGTTCGTAAAATTATGTATAGGAAGTAAGCAAGATTTCAGCTTGTCTCCTTTTTTGTCAAAGTATTTTGGCGTAGTCACCTGAACTGAGGGTTTATGGTTCTAATAATGTCAGTAATGACGGTAAATATGAAAGTTGAGAGCAAATTCCTCGGGTTCACTGGACAGTCTTCTTCGAGTTATTAATCGCACAATCGAGCAGTCACAAGTTCAAGGTAATCCTCTTTCGGTGTTCGGTAAGGCAAAATTACGGATTTTTCGTTTCTAGTCGGTTTTAGAGACCATCTTCCTGATCATTGTTGAGCTTACTTCCGTTTCGAGTGAAAATTTTGGGTGAAGAGATTCGAATGTCGGTTCCATCAGAAGACGATGGCGGATTCCTCTTGACCAGCTGTCCATTGGCTTCTCCTTTGATTCCCTTGATGGACATCATCAAAGCGAGATAACATCGTCACAACAAAATTCAAGCTAAAGAGCCAAGAAAACTCATTGGTGAATCCCTAAAAAGTGGTATATACACTCTACATCTGGCTTCTTTGATCAAGTATAAAGTGATTTGGTTAGGTAAGGTAATATGTCAACCACGATGCATGTAAGTAAGCTCAACAATTATCAAACAAGAGATTCCTCGAAACCCAACTCTTCTTCGCATATCTTCATCATCATCTTAAACGAACTAGTGTGAACACAGCTTAAAATTACGGATTCCCTCTACCCGACTTTTTTAACACAATGAAATGCAAGCTAACGTCACTTTATTAAGGGAGTCCTCGAAACGCAGCTTCTCATCACATCATATTTTTTAACTCCTATTTTCTTCTGGAAGCCTCCTTTGAGTGTTGAGCTGGCATTTATTTCTGAGCAAAGCGCGAGCTTTTGGGATGAAGAGCTTGACCGGTTGAACTCACCCGAATGCAACGTCGACCTTCCAGTGTTCTGATGCAGAAATATTCATAATGAGTAGATTTTGATACTTTCAGTAGATTTGGAATAAAGGCTGTGCTCACCAAAGTTGATATAGAATTATGAAGGTGTGCCTCAAAAAAATTCAACTATAAGCTCTTCTTCACGTTATGCTAATTAACATGACTTCAGCCCTAATGTTGTAGATATATTTCGTTGCAAAAAATAAGGCCGACGCAGTGCTTGAGTCCGCTTTAATCGGTTTTGATGAAGAGCTGTTGAGTTCCCCACTATTGCTGTCATGGCTTTGGTCATTCCGCTTCAAAGCTACGCTTGTATGGAAGTGGTTTGACCACCTTTTTGCAAGTTGGTCGTTATATCAGGCAGACATGGATACCATGACTAAGTAGATAAAACGAGGTCAAATCTCCCGTGTCCAGCCAAATGACTATGCGACCAAAATGCAGGTCACACAATCTTGGTAC